GCGGCGGATGCTGACTGGGAGGAAATGGATGCCTTTGCACTACTGCTGTCAGCGGCGGATGTTGACTGGGAGGAACTGGCTGCCGTTGCAGTGCTGCTCTCAGCGGTGGATGTCGACTGGGATGAACTGCCTGCCGTTGCACTGCTGCTCTCAGTAGCAGATTGTGTCTGAAATGAACTGACTGATGTCACTGCCGTTTCATAGGTACTCTCTGTAGCAGATGGTGTCTGAGATGAACTGACTGATGTTACTGCCGTTCCAGTGGTACTCTCTGAAGTAGATGGTGTTTGAGATGAACTGACTGATGCTACCGCCGTTCCAGTGGTACTATCTGAAGCAGATTGTGTCTGAGATGAAGTGACTGATGTTATTGCCGTTCCAGTGGTACTCTCTGGAGCAGATGGTGTCTGAGATGAACTGTCTGAAGATATTACTGTTGCTGAAGTGCTTGTCGCTGATGTTGTTTCTGTTGTAGCCAATGGTGGTGCTCCGGTTTCAGTTGTAGCCACTGTTGCTGCAGCAGTTGAAATACTTGTTGCTGATGTAACCGTCTCAGTTGAAGTCTGTGATGATACTAGAATTAAATAAATAAATAACATTTTTTCAATAAGACATGGTAGTAACTGATAAATAAGATAGTAAAAGATGTTTCCCTTTTCCTGGATATCTATCGGAGGGGAAAAGGAAAATTATATTGACCAAGACGTCTTAATTAATTACCAAAACACTAATTGTGGTTTTTGCTTTTGAGAAAAAATGTTTTCAATTTTTACACACAGAAATAGGCAATAAAACATACCTTGGGAGCATAAAAAGGAGAAGATAAGCACACGCAGAATCCCATGACTTTTAGAGACTTTCATCGTTGCCATTGTTGCATTGAAAACACGTCGTTTGGGTTCCATAAATATGCGCCTCTTCCTCTAGGGATAAAAAGACATAAGATAAAGTGCGTTTTTGCCAGACAAATTGTATTAGCGCACTGAACATGTAACGATTAATTAACTGATTTTATCACTATTCTTTGTTTGAACTGGAAATGAAATAAGGCTTCTTGACATAAAATAAATTGCGAATTTGTTGATATCTCAGAGCACACTTTCCGCAGTCTTATCCTGTGAATTTTGCACGACACCATTCTCTTATATTGTCGTATTTGATCTTAAAAAATCTGTGTGTATTCAAGTAGCTCACAAGGTTTAACATTAGTAATAATATAAAATATCTTTACGACATACTTAAAGAATTAGCAAATCACGACGTTTATACACTATTTGGCCACGTGCATGGTTATGCTACCAGACTCCGCTGCTTAAGAATCGTTTGCATGGTAGTGGAAAACAAAGGAAAGGAGAAGAAAATGTACACAGTCCGTTTTATTCGATTTCTGACAAATACATATATGTATAAAACGATGCTAGGCGTAAGCGAATGATGTTACTAAAAAAACCTAAGTCAGGTTCCCTGGCTAAGAACTTAATTACCAAGGTTACATGGTCACATGGGCACATCTTACCCTATCAGGAGCAGTGTAACAGCGGTCTCATGGAAATCCTAGTCAACTAAGCCAGGGAACTGGCTAAAGGTTTTTTTTTTTGTTGTGAAACTGGGGCCTGACTAACTAAGTTAACCGTGCAAATGGGTTTATTCATACAAATGGCATAACGCCCAGCTTCCAAAATAAAAACCAGATTCTTCATACAACAGTTTTGTTTTTCATGTTCGATGAAATGCAGCGTGTAGCCATTTATGTTCACAATATAAATATGCAAAACAAATTAATCAACTTGAAAATAAATAAATAAATAAATAAATAAATATAAAAAAGGTAAAATGTAATGGGCCTTTTTCTGTAATGATAATTCCCAAACCAGGATGCAAGGGCAATACAGGCCAAGTGAGAAAAGAAATTTAAAAAAATAATTATTTCACGCACCGAGGCTTTATGAAACAACCCTGCCTTATCTTATTGCCCATTTATAAAAATGATACACTATGCAAAGAATAAGATACCAGTTCATGATCAGACACATGTCGTAGGTACCCAAGTCATTTTGGATTATAAAGGCAAAGAAAAGAAAGGGAAGAAAGGACTGAAAGGACGTTCCACTGATTTCTCAAGCACTCGCACCTGTTAATGCCTTTGTACGTATATATATGGATTGTAGAAAGACGTTTATATACACTTATCTGAAGAACCTATATAGGGATGAAATACTGGTGCGAACTGATCCATGAAACGGATTTGATGAATTTTATTGCGCTTTAAATACCCTTGAATAATCGAATTGACCGTCGCCTTATTCATTTATTAAAACTATGAATCAACATGAGCTTATATACTTTCCTGTAGTTATTTATTATCAATTCTGGCTTATGTTAACATCATGGGGACAAAATGACACAATCGTGGTACAGTGCCGCCGGAATGTCCCCTTACCAAATGGCCGTATGGTTTCCCAACCCTGCCCCATATGGTCGAACAATAGAGGCCGTATGATAATTACAGGGTAGGGGAATCCCCAAGCAATCCTTATCGGACACCCAAATTAGTCGGTTCAACGAACACGGTCTGCACCTTCTTAATTGCCTCACTTAAGGTTTCTATTATAGCTGATGCAAAGAGATTGCTATCGACACGAGCAATGTATCAACTGCAACAGAAGACTCGAGTAAAGGCAAGTCAAATATTAGAACAAAACTCTGAAGAACAAATCAGGCTTAGTTTTAAAACACGTATAACAATTTTATTTGATGATAATAAGTCACGATCAACAAAAGCGTAGTTAAAATGGAAAATTTTAAATAGCTAATACATCAAATAAATATCAATGTCTCATTTCCTTTATTACATGTGTTGCTAGTTTAGTAGCCTGATGCACGACCTTCTCTCTCAAGTACCGCTGGAATCACCTTCTTTAGGTGATTAATATATTTATTACTGTATAATACACTTTTCTGCGTTAATATGGTCATCTCCTCGACTATAACGTTCATGTGGCGCAGGTCNTGTACCCTTAGCAGTTATAGTGGAGACTTTTAAAGAACTGGAGCACGATAATCCAGCTTTGTAAAATGGACAAATAGAGCCAAGGTTGAATTTTTGATTGATGACGTAAACGGATGAAATGTTGAAGAAATGTAGAGTAACCACCGGGAGGGGACCAAAATGTCAGTTTTGCAAGGCTCTTAGGGAAAGAAAGAGAATAAAATAACTGTACCACTGTGGTATATCACACACGGTGAGCTCTGGTACAGTGCCGCCGGAATGTCCCCTTACCAAATGGCCGTATGGTTTCCCAACCCTGCCCCATATGGTCGATCAATAGAGGCCGTATGATAATTACAGGGTAGGGGAATCCCCAAGCAATCCTTATCGGACACCCAAATTAGTCGGTTCAACGAACACGGTCTGCCCCTTCTTAATTGCCTCACTTAAGGTTTCTATTATAGCTGATGCAAAGAGATTGCTATCGACACGAGCAAACAATACCGGGTTATGTATCAACTGCAACAGAAGACTCGAGTAAAGGCAAGTCAAATATTAGAACAAAACTCTGAAGAAAAAATCAGGCTTAGTTTTAAAACACGTACAGGCTGTATAACAATTTTATTTGATGATAATAAGTCACGATCAACAAAAGCGTAGTTAAAATGGAAAAATTTAAATAGCTAATACATCAAATAAATATCAATGTCTCATTACCTTTATTACATGTGTTGCTAGTTTAGTAGCCTGATGCACGACCTCTCAAGTACCGCTGGAAGCACCTTCTTTAGGTGATTAATATATTTATTACTGTATAATACACTTTTCTGCGTTAATATGGTCATCTCCTCTTCTATAACGTTCATGTGGCGCAGGTCAGCCTTTGAAGGACGTCCACTTCGTGGCTTATCTGCAATACCAAGCCCTTCGTCGTATTTATTTAACGCATAGTAAATGGCTTGTCGCGACACTTTATGGCCTTCATTTTCCATTTGTGCGGTTATGTTTTTAATTCGCACCCCTTGTTCTCGGAGGGCGATGATACGCAGACGCACGTAATCGCTAAGTGGCATCTTGGAATTGTGATGATTTGGAAAATTTGAGTGTCGATTAATACGGTCACTTGGCAGGTGACACGATGGCATGGAAATCAGTGACATAAACATGTCATATTAAACAAAATACTTATTGGCCATTTAGGAAGTCCAGATACACAAACAATCCTGTTGACACGTGTCAGTTGATTTAGAATTATTTGCAATTGATTAGTTTGGATTGAGGAGCGTCATCGCAATGTTAACATTAATTTTATACGATGCGTGTCACACAGTAGTGATTATGTAATAGTCAGGGCTTAATCACTGTGTTTACCCAGCATGAATAAAGCTAACCTGAACTGATTGTTAATTAATGTGAGATGCCACGTGCCAACCAGTGAAGTTAGCCCGAGAGATTGTAATCCAGTTTTTTTAATTAATTTCTTTTGATGCGTTTAAGTATGAAGAAGGCTTTTGGTTAAGTTTGGGCTTTAGATCGTAAAGATGAACTATTCCTATCGTTTTGAATTACATATCAAACAATGATAGAGAAACAGTTCCTACTTTTTGTCCTACAGAATCAAGGAATCAGTCTTTCGGCCGGCCACCCGTCGCCTTGTCAAATAAAGAAATATTCGAAATTCGACAACGGGCCAGTTCCCCAGGCAACTTTTGCGTTCAGTTGATGGGAAGGTTGTTTACGATTGATGAACGAATACGAAAGGACAGAAATGTTACGGGTGTAGATGGGAGAGATCCTATATGCAAATATAGACTGAACTATATTAAAGATATGGCTAACAAAATGTTTATCACTGAAACAACTGACAAGTCTTTTTGGAAAAAATGCATTTCGTCTATGAACAAAACTAATAGAAATATAAGGACATACTATAAAAATAAATTTCAATCTTGTTAATAATATGTATATAGTAAAGACAGTTTGAAGCCTAATAAATATTACATGTACAAGTAGTGTTTTATTTGATCTTTAATAAATTCATAAATTCACTTATTAAACTCTATGTGAATTCAATCAATTCATAGCTACAATGTACACGAAAATTGCTGTCATCACCGAATCTTTTTGGTAAAGCGACTTTTAAAAATCACTGTTGGCAAGTTCTTATGCTTAAAATCTCCGTTTCACAGTAGAGTGTTCAAAGTAGAGTGAAGCCACCGCGCATTAAAGGTCAATTAACGCTTGGACGAACTCTTAATTGCGACCACGCTCACCTTCGATCTTTATCTCAGCGAGCTAGGGTTAGGCTCTTTTGTTAGCAGAAAGTTTGTCACGATAATTGCCCGACGGGCAGGGTATGGAACTATTGTTAACAGAAACCAAACAGCGTATGGATGACAATGTTATTTCCATAGTTACCGAGCCAGGCCGTCCGTACAACCCGCAGCGACCCGGAGGGTAAGTAAGGGGAGATTCCGGCGGCACTGTAACACATTTACATTGTGATACAAATAACTTCTACGAAAAAAGCACAAAAATGACAAATATTCGAGTGTAACACAACGCTTGTTCTAATCAGGTTAAAACACCGGGTTGTTGCAGCTAACGCATTACTTTGGATCAAATATTACATTTTATTGGAAGTTTTTTACCTGAACAGGCCACTGATACAGTATTTTTCTTCGCAAAGGGCTTATTCCCAATGAAAATATCGGTTTACGTAGATCGATCCAACTCCGCAGGCACTCTCGCTGAATGCAATCAGATAAAGATATTAACACGCCTCCTCCGTATCCACTGATATCAAGAGGTCCTTAAATGTTTTACAAAACTACACTGTGAGCCCTGCAACATTGTTGTAACAAAGTACTCGCGCAACCTGTGGTTAGAGAGTCATTTGTCCAGGCGTTGTGTGGAATACAAACATATAAGCTGTTGATTGTACGAGCACTTTGGAAACAAAGTTGATTAATTTGATTGTATGCACCAGGAGTTCCCGCGGAGTTTGGATCGATCTACTTAGATCGATAGTTTAAGTGGGAATGAGCCCTAAAAGATAAAGTAGTCTAGTTCGTCTAACCATATGAAATCATATTGATTGCGTCTATTACGTTTTAACTGTCAGTTAGGAATGCTTACATAAAGCGACTAACTTATAGCCTGCAGGGCGATTTTCTTTTGATTTGGTGTTTACTTGGCTTCACTAAAAATCTTTTGTAAAGATTGTCAGAACGCATAGCTGCTTCACTTAAAAAAGGCGTTTGACGCTGATTGCATAATGTGTAAAGATGACAACTTATTTCAGCAATTTGCGGGATACGTGAGTGTGGAAATGTAAGACGGGACTCCTTCAAAAGGTCGATAGCGTTGAAATGTAGTAAGACGGAATGAAGAAATTGTATATGCTTTTAAGATGCAAAGCGGCAAAATAAACAACGAAATGGTGATATTCCAGTGTCTTTTATCCTCTCATCTTTTTTCTTCTCTGTTCACCTTTTTTCATTATGGTTCCTTTTCACAGGCTTCTCCATGTTATTAACTTGTTGAATACGACACCGCACATAGCAGGCGATGAGCACTTGTACACATGTACACACACTGCAGGGACAAAAGAAGTGTCACCCCCTAACTCAGAGTAATANGTGAATTTTGATGTTAATAATATGATACTAGGAGCATATCATTCCACAGTCATTCATCTCCCCCATAGTATTGGCTCAGGAGGGGTGACACTTCTTTTGTCCAGTGTGTGTAGTATGTATCAATAAACATAATATTGCCTTTTGATGCAGCTTTGTTGAGAAGAATATATAGTCTACATCGTAAACATTTCCATCTTTTCATCACATTTTCATTTTTACGGGTTCAGCTTTGATATCTAGGGTTGGGGATGGACTAGAATTGGTGGATAGCAAAGTACTATTAACGAGCTGTGCATTTTGAATAGTTCCCTTATGCAAACAGCTACACGTATCAGCAGATATTTATTTCTCTAGACTTTGAAAAGAATGACACTCTCCTTCGACCCTTCCCATAAGCTTGTCAGTAATCACCATTATCAACTCCACCTGCAATTACTTTGTTATGACATTTGTTAGAAATTTAACGATCCGGTAATTTCACAAAGTAATATTTCGCCCTGACATCTGAGTAGATTTGTCAACATTGACAGTAATATCACGACTCAGTGCTGTTCCTCTATGTACCGCTGAACCGAAACACTTTGATAGTAATGTTTGCAAAAATGGGACAAATTTGTGTTCAGCTAGCTATCTTTCTTGAAATAAAAACAGACTCTCGCCTTCTTAAAATATCATTTAATATATAACTGACTCGTTTTAAAAATGTTATATACTTTGAAATTTATATGCTATGCTTATCAACTTTACAACAAGCGACACGGAGCTTGTGCATCAATCATACAAATAATGAGCTTTTATTGTCTACACAACGCAAATATTCAGAGTACTTAATGAAATTCTGAATAAAAAAATAGTTTACATGTATAGCATTCTGTATGAAAATTTCACTTAAGAGATTATTTTCGGTGAGAACCAAAATAACCACCTTGAAAATCAAGGGGGTGTGGGCATTTCTAATTTTATCCCCAGCATTAATAGCGTTCTGGTGTGGAATTATCCTGGAAAAATTCAGCTTGCCGTATGTGTGGTCCTTTGAAAGATGCATTAAGCAATACGCATCGCATGGGAACGTTTTTAACATGCAGCAGCGAGGTTGTATCATTATTATTTTTTTACACAAGCTTTTTTAAAAATCTCTTTCTACATGTATATACATATTTGGCATAGACCCTTAACCAGTGCACATACTACGAAGCACCATCACAACTGTTCAAACTCTCACCATATACCCATACCAATGCCTTTAACATTGAATCTTTTGAGACACCAATTCTTCGGCGATATTATTGATTTTCACTTAGAAAAACAAAGGCAATGACACAAGTAGTTTTTTCTTCACCTGTGAAAGTATCGTGAATGCATTTCTATGGGTTTTCCCATTTAAAACATAGGCTTAGTCAAAACTTACCTTATGTGCTATTTTGGAGAACAATATTTTCTGGTTATATGGCTACATTATTGTTATATTAACAGGCTGCCATAACTAGTGCTACAGTACAACTACTACTTGTGCTTTATGTAACACTACTACTACTGAAACTGCTTCTGTGAATACACATATCTACCGGTATATACATCTTGTATTTACATAAACCTACTGGTAGCATGACGAGGCCAAGAAAAATGATACAGAAAAATGACACTAAATTGAAAATAAACAGACGAAAAAAGCCTGTGAGTAGCTATATGAAATGCCATTAAAATGTGTTTTGGGGATAGCGAACTCCAAGCGTGCGTGCTTAGGCTGTATTCCAAGAGCTTTTAGATCGATCTATCCCCGCGGGGAGTCTCACTAGATTACTGTCAGATAAATGTCCGTCCCGCCTACTACAAGCTGTAAGGGGGTAATTACCTTTCGTGTCCGCCCGGCTGACAGCTATTTAGCGTGAACCCCCAGGGAGTTAGGTCGATCTAAAGTAGATCGATCTAATGTCTGGAAATTGGGTCTAAGACCCCATTTCCATAGATTTTAGATCGATCTATCCCTGTGGGGAGTCTCACTTGATTACTGTCAGCTTAGCCGGCTTAATCGCCTGTCCCGCCTACTGAAAGCTGTAAGGGGGTAATTAACTATGGTGTGCGCTCGGCTGACTGCAATTTAGCGTGAACCCCCAGGGAGTTAGGTCGATCTAAATCTTAATCCCTGGATCTATCTAAATCTCTGGGAATACACCCTTAGTCCCGTGTTTTGCATGTATTGTTTGCGTCTGTCCCTTCTTTCCATCGTCTTTATCCCTAGTCTCCCTAGTCAGTGCGCGTTGTGCAAAATCCATATCAGCTGTTTTTCAATAAACCTTAACTCCTGTTGCAACTTTATCATAGACTCCAGTAAATCTTGCTGCTGCTGGAGAAGCAGCAACTGAAGGCATATTTCTGCGGGACTATCGTCGTCTGCGCTCTGGAAAAAGAAGACACTGTTATGTAGACGTAGGTGGCCGATTTTGATTGATGGTGTTTAATTTGTATGTTATTCCGCTCGCCTGCGTGCTTTTGCCTTTCTGAAAAATAAGGCCTGGTTTTCTGTTAGATTTGATACTTTGATCAATGAGTTACATGTATAGTTAGGGAAAGAAATCGTTGAATTCATAATGAGAAAAATGGTGATCTAAAAGAAAGTCCGAGAAAAATTAGAAAACTTTTCTCCATTGCCATAAATATGCGATATTTCACACTGAACAATATTACTCAGTATACACAATAAAGAATCAATTTCATATAGGGCCTACATGTATTAATGGGATTTAGCACAACTTCATATATTGTGTTTTCACTGCTATGTACTGGACGCATTATCAAACTGCGAACGAGATATGATTATTCTACAACAGAAATATCTAGTTGGAGATTTTCAACAACAACGATTTTATAATATCTCTCTCACCGAGTCTTCTCTGAAATTCACCGGCGTGTCTACATATCCCTCACCCTGCATGTTGGTCTTCGACCCAGCCTCGGAGCACTGCTGTTCGTGTCCAATAGCCTAGAATGACAAAATAAATAAAAATAAATAAATGAATATAATAATAATAATAATTAGCAGGCCTCAAAACTTTTCTTTGAATACAACACAAAAACAAATAATTTTCTCTGACTTTGGTGCAACAGCAGCGTACCCGTTTTATGACAAGTGCAAGTATTTCGGAGGATTTTTTTTTTTTTATTTACATCATAGAAATCCTAAAAGCAATTTCAGATTAATTTTATGGTAACACATGTATAAATCTTCGCGGTTCTTTCTACTAGAAGTTGTAACTTCTGATTGACATTGGATTTTTTTTCTTTTCAGACATATAGAGGTTCCAAATATGACCGCGTCTTCTGAACATGTCCATAATCAGCCAAGTTTTTCGTTTGAATCAGAAAGGAAAATATCAGCTCTCTCCGCGGTGCCACAGGAGTTACATTCCGTATTGTTAAACCCGTTACAGTACATTAACTTTTACTTGGGACTAAGATTGCATTTGCCTGTAACGAACCTCAGAGAATAATGACATTTTATGTATAGCATTTACTGTTGTCTTGGATGTCTTACAAAATTACAAATTTCACGCATACGCATTCTGCAATTTTCATCATTTGAATTGCATCATTTTCTCATCATTTTATTCGTAACCGGAGGTAAGAGGTAATGTGCAACTAGATATAATGTTCATAATTCATTCTAAGGAGTGACAAAGCAATTTTCGAAATTTTCTCTCGAGACATACATGTAGCGCGGTTTGCTGCGTAAGCGGTAACTACACAGGTGCGTCCTATGCATTAATCCAAAGGCGACTACGCTATCAATGTGATCAAGTAACAAAAAGTACTCTAGTGTAAGTAGACTAAAACAAGCAAAGACTCTAAGCATAATTTTCAAAATATATGTATCTTACACAACACTTTCATGTTGACGGAATTGTGGTAAAGCACACTTGCAATGCGTCGCTCTGCCTGTCAATAGGATGTACAGTTTTCTTACAACTTACCGCTGCGGACTTGAAATTGCTTTTCTCGCTGCCTTTCCCAACCACATCCTCATTTTCCCCACTTTCTTTTCCACGGCGCTGATCACTCTCCATCCCTGAATATTGCCAAACCTTTCTACTAGTCCGCAAGTAGTCGTAAATGAGATGTCACATGCGAGTGCTTTCCAATACGGGGAGAGTTAACCTATTTCATTCGACCTTCGCATTCTGCACGATTTGAAGACTCATAGAAAAGGGAATCATCTACCGAAAGACCCGTTTCAGGTCAAAGAGACTGCATTATGATATAACGTTGAAGTGCGGTACTAAGTGGGGAGCGGGAGAATTGTGAAAATTGGAAAGTTTTGAACAGTTTTGAAATATATAATTTATTTTATTTCAATAATAATTAATGTCACCAATACATGCCTTGCCCTTACGAGCCTTACCCTAAGCTTGGACCTAAGAGAATTACAACAACGTTTATATATATTTCAAATTTAAAGGATTGTCTTCACAGTAACTGTAGATATTCACAAACATTTTAATTAAAATTTTAAGTTCGTTCGTCAAAGGAAACTGTAAATCGTAATGGAAATAATCTCTACATGCAGTTTATGGACAGAAGTCTCCTCGCTGGATAGGGACTGAAGATAAGAACCCCCATAGCGGCGCCCGCACACAGCATAATACATAGCCACAGGTTCAGCGTCAGGAATATCAGGACCATTAGCAGAGCAGCGAAGACTTGGAGGGCGTATAGCAGCGCATGGAGCACGTGGAGGCAGCAGTAGCTACCGCAACTTGACCTGCGTGAGGATACAGAAAAGTATATGGTGGAACGACATGACGAATAAAAGCGTAATATATGGACCTTTTACCATGGAACTTTCATGTACCTTAATTAAATTTCACCTATAGGGGACCTTTTCCCTGAAAAAAGGGGGGGTTCTTTCAAACCCCCCCAACCTCCCCCCCCCCCCCCCCCGGCTACGGGCCTGCCGTATATTTTAAGCTTCAGGTAACTTGTAGAGTCTTTAAAATTAAAGGGATAACAACTGTTCGATTTGGCTAAAAAAACTGATTTGCCATCCTTAACAATGGTTAATTAATCCATTCTGACATTCAAAGTTAGTCTATGTTTTTTTAGTTTTAAAGAGATTATTATGGAGGTACAGCCACCTGTGAAGGTCCACGTGGTCTGATGGCAAGCACAGTTTCCATAATTATTGCGACAACCGCTTTTTTTGGTGGAAAAATGTAATTCATTAAACTTCTTTGAGTTGTTTACAGTGTTTTTAATGTGAAATATGGATCTCATGCGAACAGTTGTTGCCCCTTTAAGGTATTCAACATAAGGTTACACGGGGAATGTATTGAGGAGTTATAAGGGATGTCACCATTTCCTTCACCACGTTGAAGTACTACATGTAATACCGTACTATAAATGCCATTCTGTCAATATGCCACGTTTCTTTTTTTCTCATTACACTGTTCATACCCCCCCTGGTTGATTACACAGTTTCTCTAGGCCTGCTCGATTTTTAAAGTCACCAAATGAGGTTTGACAAAAAGAGCGGTTGAAAACTCGTCCGCCGGCATATTTTAATCCTTCTACATTGGCGCTTACTTTGTGTTGCTGAAAACATTTCTTTTGTGAAGTGCGGTTCTAATCCTGTACGTAAGAAAAGATAAAAGGGCTTTCTTTTTGTATGAAGCTGACAGCCTATTTCGCCGATTTGTAAGACATGCCACTGAAGAGAGATTGAAGGGACCACCTCAAATTCCCGTTACCTGTGCTTTATTTCCCCACGAAAAACATTCTTAAATTTCCGGGGGTAAGTGATATTTTCTCTGACTTTTCAAACTTCGATCCTACTCTCCTGCCCCCCCCCCCCCCCCACCCCAATAACCTTGTAATAATCTCGGAAATGTTTTTAAATTTTTTTAAAAGAGGTGGAAAGGGGAGTAGGTAGACAGCAAATCCAAACGAATGAAGTGTTGCGTTACTTAATAAGTTATGTGTTTTTAAGAATTTCACTATCTACAGTCTTTCCGAGAATTCATTTATTTTCATAATTCAAAATGAGCTGTCCCTTTCCCCTAGACCATGGACATAATGAGAGATTATGTCCATGCCTGGACCAAGCCAATGCTGGAACCTATCAATCACGTGGCGTTGAGACCACGTGGCCATCACGTGCACGTTGCTATGGCGTTATAAAGTGGCTGTCACGTTGTCCCCAAGTGGCGCGTTCCCCTGGTAACTTTTACGATCATTTACTTTGTAATGACAGCCGTTAGAAATATTGCATCAGTTAATTTGAAACAACAGTAATCTATTGTGTTTAACAAATATTCATATATAAAATGAGTAAAGATGAACTAAACCGTGATTGCAAGTCCGTTGATATTTTTTAAAACTAAATCTTACTCCATATCCATGTCTTCCCCGGGTCGTCTGGGTACTGCTCCATAGCCATTTTGCTCGGCGTACAGGGGCGGGTCACTGCGCTGTTTTAGGTGGTCGAGCTTAGCATACTGGACGCAGAGATTCAACGCTTTTAACCCCTCGTAAAGGAAAGAGAATGTGAACACAGCCAAACATGTCGCCATGAAGTCTGTAACACAAACACCGCGAGTTAAAAATTAAACAAAAAAGTAAAATTCTTGTTCTGCTATTGCAATTTAAATAATATCAACAACAACAACAATAATAATAATAATAATAATAATAATAATAATAATAATAATAATAATAATTTATTACCGTACTACCACTAGGGCATTTTACAATGACTATATGGCCACACAAAGTACATGTACATGTACATTTATCCGTGCTATTATTCAAACCAAAATGTTATTGAAATACTACTTAAACGTATGATACAAACACAATTAAGTGGAAGACAGTAAGAAAGATAAAGAATTAGTATAAAATAATATAATATGATATATTTTTCTACGTGTATATCCAATACTAGTCTGGATATAACGAGCGAGCGAGCGAGCGAGCGAACGAGAGAGAGAGAGAGAGAGAGACTAACGCCATTCCGGATCGGTCATCCATTGCTCAAAAATTCTAATCTTTTCAGTCCCAAAATGGAAGGACAGCTATAAAAAGACAAAATGGGATACAATCATAGGTGTTAATATATAGTTATCTGTAAAAGATTAAAAATCCAAGCTGCTCGACTTATTATACCCAACGACTTTTTCTCACATTAACATGTAAATTGTTACAGTTGCACTCGGTCTTCTCTAAAGCAATTTCATAACAGAGTTAAGGTTAAATCGACAAGTAATATTTGCGTTCTGATGCATAACGTGTGTCTCGGGATCTTTTCAACACATATCACCCCAAGCATGATCATCAGGTATTTTGATCGAGATGTGGTATTTGGTATCCGTATAGGACGACTTATATGTCGAGCAACAAAGCGTCGGCACTGACTGTTTTTATACTTTTGAATGGTGCATACCAGTAAGTATAGGCCGCCGACAACTGTCCTACGAGTCTCATCTAATTATGTCAGGTGAGATATCTCTGTTCATCAGGTGACTATGGTTCTGAGACAAATTTCATTAAGAATGACCAAATCATATAACCAATAATACTGTTTACCTATAATTTGGCCTCTCTTACGACAAGTACTTGTTTAGAAAATATGATTGTATTTGTAGAAATGCATAATGAAAACAGAAACATACCTTATCATCTGATGGATACGACATGTTTTCAAACACTTGTCATCTAGCCCAGTAAAGTAATGACTCTGCATGATACAACGTCGTTTGACGTCCAATTTCTGTTGAAATTATAAATAAAGTATCACCACTATTATTGTTACACAACTTTTCATTGCTAAATAAATGTAACTAATCGATATCATCATCATCGCCACCTGCGTCACTCCTCTTGAGAACAGTTCAACTAGGCACCATGAAGAACTGTCCATTATCGATCCTATATATATATATAAATTATATTTAAATCCTAAAAATTGGCATATATTTAATACGGATTGCAAAATAACTTTACACGGTGCCTTTAAGCTCTGCTCATACAAGAGGACAAGACCACCATCAAATATTTGTACGTACACACGAGTGCCCGCATGGAATTTGTTGGTGTCTTTATTAATTCAGGAAATACTAATTTAGTTTTGTCAACGCTTCCTTACAACACAAACAAGACAGTTTGTTATCTACTGGTACCGGCCTTTGAATCGTCTGCATAATGCTAATTTGGTCTCCCGCATTCGCAACAGCGGTGACTGTGTCGTTCACTCTTAATTATCCCAGTGCCTTTATAACTGTACTTTTACCCCTTTTTATTATGTATCATATTAACTACGAATTTGAGAAATCAACCCCCCCCCCCCAAAAAAAAAAAAAAACACACACACACATACACACACACTTAAAGGAATAATTACTATATTAAGGCATTGGCGTGTCTTGCAATAAGATTCGGATATAAAGCCAAAACCACACCACGATCTGCAAATAAAATAAGTCGTACCCATTAACTTTTGTAACATATAGGGACATTAATTCAGTTTGCTAAGAAAATAAGACATCAACTTCTCTTTAAAAATCTCATTGCATGTCAGGTATGTTTGAAATAAAGGAGGTAACAGAAAACAAAAAATAACAACTCACGCCTTAGTTTAATTTTATTAATACTAAGCAGATAATATCACAAAAAAATATCAGTCAAGTACAACAGTCTGTTAAAATTAGTTTCTTTAAAGTTAAAATTGCCTATAAAGCTAAAAATGCAAGATATATTATCAAAGAATTGGTTAAATCATTCTCCACTTGTATATTTCAATCTTAGCAAGAGCTCGCCTTCTCCTTAATACCATGTGCACATTATTTATAATGCCCTTTTTCATACAGTACCACCTGCACTGTCTGGAATGTGGTTTTGTAGTCATATATATATTGTAAGTTGTAATCACAAAAATATGTTTTTAAAAATATGGGACTACTTCACATTCAAAAATATCAATAAGAAAGATATCCATTTACAAAACCCAAGGAATGACAGTCACAATTCAATTTGTTATATATATATATATATATATATATATATATATATATATATATATATATATATATATATATATATATATATATCCCTTCAAAACAACAGCAGGTTAAAAAAACTGCAAACCTTATAACTGTCATATTATGCCTGTGCATGCCAATCTCATGTTTCACCTTTGTCAACTTTTCCTTTATAAAAATATCAAGGAGATAGGCTTTGAATACTAAACCTCAATTACAAATAGCTAAATCTGGTGGTATTGATTCAGACTGATGTTCAACTTGAAATAGTGCTGCTCTCTCCCTTTAAAAAATTAACCAATAAACATGCTTTTCTAAAAGCAAAGATTGTAAATGACACACTCACACACAAACACACACATATATAATGCACAGCTATAGAAGTGAATTCTATAAACAGAATACCTAGTGCTCTTGCCTGATAACCTTTAAAGCATAGAACTAAGTTATTAGGGTCTCCATCACCATGATCATTAACTGCTTGTATTGTATAATTGTAACAACAGGTGGTTAAGGTTACAACATGTGAAAGAAGAGTAATTTGTTATAGCTATCATAATGTTATCATACCCAGTATTAAATAGCTTTCATACATGAATACCCACATGCAATGGTATGTAATATGCTGTGCTAATTTTATGATTCTCAAGACGTTTCACAAAATAAAAATGCAAAATTAATATTTAAAGATGGTACGGACAATTGATTACCTTCCAAGATTATTATAAAGTACTCTGTAAATACCATGTTCTATTTAAAACCTAAAATAATTAATACCATCGATTGATATTCATTAAAAATTTAATGCGAGTAGGTTTTTATAATTGCAACATTCCTTGATTCCATTAAAATTTTTTTAATATTAGTGTTGAATGAAAACAAAAACATAACAAAAACAAAAAAGTTTGGCCTTAGACACTTCAGTGCCTGCAATGGAACAAAAATTCTTAATGCAACAATTCACTGACAGACCACAATTATTTCAGAGTTAAAACTTCACTTCAATCTCCTGAATTCCCTCACACATTCCTCCAAAATATCAAATGTCCAAAATTGAGAAAAAAAGTCCATTTGAAACTTCCCTTACTGTATGATCTTCTTCACGGTGTCTATTAGAGGGTCCTATGCTGTCAGTAATCCCATAGTATATGAAACAGAGTGAGTGTCAAAATCACGACCTTTTGGTCTTACATATAATACATGTAGGAGCCCTTGGGGCAAAGAACAGGATATCTGTATATAATGACAAAAATATCTGTAAAGTCACATAATGGATAAATTTGACAATTATTTTATGATATAAATGTGACTTTCATGTTATTAATAATATCAGTGGACCTTACCTCCTTACTGGCAATTTCTTAAAAATTTGAAAGTCTTAGAGTGCATTCCCAGTGATTTAGATCAATCCATCCGAATCGACCCGACTCCCTGGGGGTTCACACTAAATTACAGTCAGCTGAGTGCGCACAACAGTTAATTACAGCTTTGAGTTAGCGGGACAAATGCTTACGCCGGCTAAGCTGACAGTTATCTAGGGAGACTCCCCAGGGGGATAGATTGATCTAAAATCTGTAGGATCGGGTCGTAGACAATTTTTTTCCTAATAAATGTCATAAAAATAAGTGTTGCTTTTTATCTGAAATGTCTAGAGTCATCATAAGTTATCTACAATTTTATGTTGAATTTGTGTATAAATTATTTAAACTAATTAAACTCATTGCATATTATTAATACTAATCAAGTTGTCCAGTGATATTACAAAGAAACATGTATGTGTGGATTGATATACTGAATGTGTGTCTATCTGCAGGTAAGTGTATGCCTGATGTTCATCAAAATATTACAGATATCCCTTTCATTAGTGGCCACTCAATAGTGAGTTTTTATGAATATCTGGCATGTCTTTGACTGGATGTCTATATCATATTTCAGAGAACTGTTAGACCAAGAATTTTTATACCACTCAAATATGGATTAAGAGTACAATCATAAGCTAACTCAACACCTCTTGCTTTACCCAGTAAAACAGAGAAAAGTAAATCAAATGTCACCGGAAGTCACATTGTTGGGAACACTTAAGATCATCACAAAAGATTAGCATGAACAATTATCATTGGACATAGCACCCAGGGGCACAGGGATCACAACAGAACAGTTTAGATCAAACCATTAAGGCTTCATTCACATGCAATAAGTTATTGGCAGCGCGAGTATAGTAACTGGCTCGCGCTGCCAGTAATTACGCCGCGGGATATTCAGGGCACAGACCGTGATCATAAGACATACTGCGAATAGAAAATAGAATTTAGAAAATAGACATTGCATGTGAATGAAGCCTTAAGTTATTAAATATACTATTGAGAAAAAAACATGATATGAAGATGTGAGGAAACAGGTAATTGCACTCATCCAATATATTCCTTCAATGAATTTAGTGCCTCTTTGATCATGTTGCCTTCCCAAAATTGTTTTCCATGATCCGAGGCTCTGTTCAAAACCAAGTTGATCCACAGATTGCAACACGGATCAAATATGAAAGCATGCCAAGTAACCCCTGTATAATCCTCTCCCAGTGCAGAGACGGTGCATGTAAGAAGTGCGGATGCCATTAGGGGATTACACAGCATGCGTTCAAGTGTTGAGCCATATTGTTGTAATTAGTTTGTTTACTCCACTTGTGCTTGTTTACCTAGAAAGTCAGTACGAATACATAATAAAGATTATAGTCAATTTCTTTTGATCAAACCAGGCCTTTTGGTCAAAAACAAAGATCACTATCTTCATATCATGAGTTAGAATTATCTTAATTTAAGAAAAATCAATATCTGTGAGGATTCAAACCAAGTGACCCCAAAACTGTATACAAATATTGTCTTATGTGCCATGTCATATACAAATTTTTTGTTCTAAGTGAATGTATGGTTGATGGATGAGTATCACAAGTTTTTATGGAATGGAAAATGGTTTTAAAAATCTACTGCTTTAAGGTACAACGGAATGTATACAGTATAGCCTTTGAGCATCAAACTGCATTTTCATACACCTACTGAACTAGCTGGATTGATCTAACTGAGGGGTTTCTCGTGAAAGTGCTTTCAAAGTAATCAGCTTAATTGTCTGGCATGCCCCTTTGAGTAACTAGGAGGCAATTGACTATCATTAATTACCCACTAGTGGCTTGAGTATGTGTGCCACACATTAACGCCACTTACAGTGCATGCACTTAAGTTGTACTTTATAGTGCATGCACTTTAGTTAGAATCCTCGCAGAGTTAGATCAATCCAGCTAGTGCAATGGGTTTATAGAGAACAGAGCCAAGAACAACACATTCACTCTTGACATAAAATAGGTATATAACATGGCATACTGCTCATTATTAGTATACAATACAATTGAGTAAAGAATATGATTGCGTTCCCATAAACCCAACATACCAGCTGGATCAATCTAACTCTGCAGGGCTTCTCATTTAAGTGCTTTATGTGTAATCAGCTTAACTGTCTGGCATGCCCCAATTGAGTAACTAGGGGGTAACTGACTATTGTTAATTACCCCCTAGCACCTTGAATAGGCATAACAGACATTTAAGATGCTTTCACTGAATGATATTTAGCGAGAAACTACAGTGTTAGATCGATCTAGTACAATGGGTTTATGGGAACGCTGCATATGGTTAATATCTAAATGCAGTGCCATGATCCTGTGCCCCGTCTTTGGCAATACAACAACATTATGTCCCAACTCTCTCTCTACAGCTCAAGCAAATGCTGTTATTCACATGGCTTTGTACAGAACCCCAATGTCCTTATGTCCTAAAACAATTATCTTCTCACTCAGATGCTCCAGGCTTGGCCTCTTAGCTAAACTGTAATAAAAAAGAAAACATCATAAATTTGCTGTGAACCTAAGATCCAATTCCCAGAGATTAGAACGATCCAAACTATATCGACCTAACTCCCTGGGGGTTCACGCTAAATAGCTGTCAGCCGAGTGGACACGAAAGTTAATTACCCCCTTACAGCTTGTAGTAGGCGGGATGGACATTTAAGCCTGATAGGATAGATCAATCTAAAATCTACGGAAATACGCCCTAAGAAAAGTATAGGCAGACACAAAAATATGAATGTGTGCTCTAAGTATAGGCAGACACAAAAATATGAATGTGTGCTCTAAGCTATTTGAACAATTTATTTGTTATTATTTTAGAATTTTTATTTTATCTTATTTTAAATCAGAATCCCCCCCCCCCGGGGGCTGAGCAATGAACCTCCACATGTATCTTAAATACTAACACCTTATAAATATGATGATGGCCATTAAGTTACCTAATGTCATAATCTTGTTGAAAAGCATTCCATGCTAATATCATTGTCATTAGAGACAATATATATTCAAAGATATTGAAATGCTATTTTAAAATACCTTAACTGGTTTAATTGCAATGAAACATTGAAAATTATTATGCAATTAAACATCATTACATTCAAGTAACATTACATTTAAAAAAATGCTAGTCACACAATTTCATCACACTGACTTTTGAAAACTTCTACAAAGCATGCAAGTTCAAACATGTACATTTATAAGTTCCAATTGTGCAAAATGCTTACATGACATATACTTAAATGATCTTAATGATCTACAACCATAACTTTTAAGCAATAAGAACATCATAAATGAGAGAGCTTGTAAAACTAACATTTTTGGATCAAAGTAGCAACAATGTTGCCTAGTGCAATTAAAATCCAAAGGGCAAATGTGTCAACTTTAAAGAGAAGACACTGCCTGTGTGACAGGAATGGTAGTCAAGGAGCTGTAGTCCATTCCCCATTACTTTGTACGGTGGCATTTGTCCCATATACTAGCCCAAATATTCCAACTAACCCTAACCTGTACTTATCATATGGGACCCCTGACAATCATTCTTAGGACTACCTTCCCCGTCAAACAAGTCACACTAAGTTACTAAAAGCTTACATTAGCATCCATAAGCTCAAGCTTATTCATTTGATTTTTGGCGTCGTAATGCAGGGTCTCTGGGTTATTTTGATCCATGTATGAGGATGCCGTTCCTGGACTGCATGGTTTCTGGCTGTCTTGCACTGCCGTAGACTGGGCTTCAATCTGTGCTCCTGCAAAATAACATACAAGCTGGGTGTCAAGTTAGAACAGAGCTCCAGAAATTAAGAAAACAGGAAAAAATTTAAAAGGAAAAAATAGGAATTTATTGCAAAAGTACGGAAAAATAGGAATTTTTCTATAAGAAATATGGACTCCCAACACAAATACTACGGTCTAAAAAAACATTTTTACTTATACTAAATACTTAAACTTAAAATGTATTCGCTGCTGGCTGAGTAACTCCATCAAATGTACCAAACAGCCCCATCCTTATATCTGATCAAACACAAATAATGTCATCTAGACACAAATACCATCTGGTAAGAGAGGTTCTTCTTCCTCTGGTTGCACCCTAGCTGCCTGTCCAGGGTGGACTTCAGGCACATCCTTCCTACTTGTCTCTCTTATTTCCAAGGTTTCATCAGTGGAGGAATCTTCGTCACTTCCCCAGCCCTCAGCAGTAGTTGGCCCCTTCATGCTTTGTTCATCCCCCGTGGTGGCTTGAACAGCGTCCACTAAGATATCCTGGGGAGTTTCTTCAGGTAGTTCATAAATAAAGATAACAAAATACATACACATTAAGGAATTCAAGTTTTTTCTTCATGAGAGCAATCTTACCAACGATCTAAATAGATGTACATTTCTAGTTGGTAAAGGTTTAATCCAACTTATAATCATTGTACTCAATGCAAATTATTAAATTATTATATTACTAGTGGATTTATTTTAACAATGAACAAACATACATACATTTATAGAAATTATTTCAAGTGAATTACATTACTAATAGTATTACTGACAGTATTACACATCAATTTCATTTCTTGAAAAATTCAAGTACAATGAGTAATATATGTTTTCACAAAATATAATTTTTATCCATATCAAGAATGGAATTCATACCATCCTTGTCCAAGTCTGGTTCAGTTATTTTCACAACAGTCAATGTGTCATCTTCTGGTGGTGCTACAAATTAATGAAGATTATTCTTTTAAAGCCTGTTAATGAAGATAATGTTCATTTCTTTGAATATTCAATGTTGCCTTTATATGAAGTAACATGTAAACAAAATAATAAAGCAATTTATAATAATAATAATAATAATAATAATAATTATTATTATTATTATTATTATTATAGGAAGAATAAACTAGATAATTCATTCCCTGGCATACACCCTCTTTTTCTAACTGAAGACTTCCCCCATGACACTATCTTCTCCCCTCAGAGTTTAGAGCAGACAGACAAAACACTGCATGCTGGACCTTGTTGTATCTTTGTTTTGCACAATGCAGTAAGAAAAGGCAAGAATAGAGGTAGGCATTTCCATGCACATGAGGCATCCTACAAGTAATAAATCATCCATCGGCTGTTACCTTGTCTCGGTTTCTGTTTCGGTCTCCAACAACAAAAACAGAACAGGAGGGCAAGGATGACTACCAGGGCAAATAGACTTAAGCCTACTAGTAGTGGTACTAGTGTCGAGATGGGGATGTCTGTCACTGCGACATTTGGAGGCTCTGTTAACAAAAAATCAAATTTAAACAATGAATCAAACTGCAACTGTAAATTTTCAACTTCTGTGAAACACGACATCAAGCTGCAATAAATCATTCAAGACCTGATATTACCTAAATTCGTCTAAAAAGTTTTGCATCACATTTTATTTTTATTTATGTATTTCTAACATTATTTCTTATTTTCTGAAGTCTAAGTGGACACATCATGCTGACAATAATTGTATCCTTAAAATATTAAAGTAAAAAATACTGTACTCCTATGAGGAAATAAAAATGAATCAGACCAGCAAAATTAACTCATCTTTATCACCTGGGCTAGGGTGGTTCAGAGGGCAGACATCCTCTCCTTCAGTTTCAAGACACGCATAGAGGTAAGAGCCTTCCTTTAAATGAATACACTTTGTCTCTGGTGTTAAGTTAGTTATGTACCCATTACGTGTCTTGTTGCAACAAAAGTAGCATTTCCGGCAACTAAAAAAGAGGAAGAAGGGTTTCTCATCAATATATTTTACTCACTTATATTATGTCATTGGTATGGCAAGTAAAAAACATATAACATTAAGTGCTCTAAAGCGTTTACTTTAATGATCCTTGCAATGAAGTGCATGTATAAATACAATTATGATAGCCTTTCTCTAACTTTGAATTTGTATCCATGTTCACTGTTATGGTGTGTATTCCACATACCTTTCAAAGGTTGAGTCATAAACTTCATATTGACCACACTTGTCAACTGCTGCTAGGCCACTTGCAACGATTATTAATGACCTCATAAAAGCCCAAGAGCCAGCATACACATACTGGTATATTTGTGCCTTGAAAAAGGAAAATTGCTAATTATATATAATAAAAATAAAATATAAAAAAAAAGAAAGAAAATCATACGCAAGTCGTACTCTTGAAAATAATGAATTTCTAGACACTCATTTGTTTCTTTAGAACTATTTCACAAACCACGATATGAAGCCTGTTGAAACCTTTTTAACAATTAAAGTAGTCGCCTCATGGAAGCTGTTCAATTTCATAACACCTCCAGTTAGGGGATTTTCCTGTGTCATCATTTCCAAATTTTAAAGCACTATTCAACTTTAACTTTTAGTTCATTCTAACCAAATTTAATCTAAATTTCATATTTAATTTAAAGTACACATACCGTAGAAAGCATTTTTGTTAAAATTCCAGAGCAACACAAAAAGATTCCGCTCCTTCGGGGAGTTTCACCCGGTCGTTCCTGCCCACCTCGCCGCCTAGTCGAAAGGATTTGCGCAAGCGCGAGAGCTGGCTGGTGATCTCACTCGGAACTACTCGGGATGTCTCGCTGACCATTGTTGTGACCTTGTCGATTGAGTCTACATGCAAGTGGCGGTCGTGCTCTATAGCGCCCGAGGCGTCCTCACGGACACTCGATGCGTTGGTTCAACTTTTTCCCCTAAAATAAAACTTAATTGAAAAAAGAAGATTTTTCCAAATTATTTCCCTTCGGTTCTGTCTATCTTTCTGACTGACAAATGAAAACAAGGACGCAGGGAGTAGAAGTTGCTTAATTGTTGTCTGTAGCTATTGAAGCAATCAAGTTCTCCGATTTTTTTTATACTGTATCTTTATTGCTTAAATCTCTACTCTGAGGTACATGTACAAGAGTATGTAGCTTACACTGATTATGAAGGGAAAATGCATGTATATACGTGTAGTCACTAAATCTTTACGATCAGCTTATTGAGACAAACACCCAAGGTTTTGTGGGCATGATACTGGTTATAAAAATCCACAATACACGGTGATCAAGGAATGTCGGCGCACAGTCGAAATGCAGTATGCGCGAAGCACAAAGTTTACAATATTTTGCTGATGTAAAGAATGTATTAACCAATTCTTGATGATATGCGAAAGTGGCTGTTGTCATAACTCTGGATAAGATTATGCTGTAAATCAACAATACACACGGTGACAGAAAATGGCGTGCAGTTGAAAAGCAGTAGACCTATGAACAAAGCAAAAAAGTTTACAACTTGGTGACACACTTTAATTAATACCCTCAATAACGTTTAGTGTTGTACTTTACTTTGTCTGCTAAAAACAAAGAGGCCAACTCTTTGGCTTATACAACTCTATATTACATAAAAAAATTCAATATTTTTACATTAGGCCAAATGATCAAAGCATACTTCGCCCCTTGCCGTATTGATTCGGTAGACTCCAACCAACCGAACATGTGCGAGCGATAGGAACATTCACCTCTTGCCATTATGAGCCTCTCTTTAACAGAATGATATGAATAATCTGGCATATCAAAGGCATAATATGACAATCACTTTCGATGTACAAATATATCCACGTACTATGCTTTAAGGAATCGTTAAGGTTCTTTCAGCGATCGATGTCCGTCTTACATGAACACCATTGGACTGAGGTGGCCCATCAAGTTTGCACTCAGCATAACCACTCACGTTAAACTAAATGGCATATTATCACAATTATAGTTATTAATATACCAGCTAGATATATATAAAAAAGCAACCTCTCGATCACCGAGCCTATGAGGTGCCACTCGATCATACTATCACGTATTCCTAAGAGTGGCAGGCCCAGATAACCGACAGACTGGGGAGTCAGTCGATTTGGGCTCCTCAATACGGGCTCTTCTTCAACCACGTGGTCGTTTGGCCCGCCATTCAGGGGTTCCGTTGTGCTGTTAGCAGGTCCTTGCTGCCCCTTGGCCTTCCCGCGCTCGTCGGTGGTGGAAACACAGCTCTTGCGTCGCATTGGGTCTCTGTCTGGAATTTGCACACAAGCGACGCGGCTGAGTTGCTTGCAAAGCTGAAAAATGTAAAGGGAGGAATGAAAAGCAACGGGGGTGCATGTTTAAAGACGCAAATGCAATGCGAATTGCGACAGCGCAACTAGCACAATGCCCAAACTTCTAATGCAGTTTTAGGTGGTGTCAGCTTTTATATTACGAGGCAGTTGAAATTAATGCAGTCAGTTTTAATTTCCGTTGGTTGCATTTCGGAGTTCTACAGCAGTTGATTGCTTTATGCGGCAGAAACGATGCGTTCTATTTTTCTATTGGTTATATTTTTTTCACTTGTTCATCCATGATATTTGCATACGGTGTTATTGTCGAAAACAACATTTAATTGATAAAAAACGTCTCAACAGAATAGTTTTAAAAGTTGTGATTTTTTTATGTTTACGACTGTAATAAATGTTTTGCCAGAATTGTGCAAGACCCGCTTTACCTGGCTAACGGACCGTTGCTAGGTAATAATTAACGTGTGAAAAAAGCATCAACATTTATGACGTAACAGAAGTAAGGTATGACCCACCTGGTAGAGCCACGTGGGTGGTCGCGAGCCGTCGTTACCATGGTGATACATCCGCAGGGTGCATACAGAACTGACCAGACAAAGGCTCACAAGTGTTAAAGTGAAGATGAAAAAACCACCTGGAATTATATATATATATATATATATATATATATATATATATATATATATATATATATATTTGGGTTTTGCAAGAAAAGACAATCATTTCATTTTATAAATGACATTTTACATGAGTGAAATGCAAAGAACTCGGTGAGAGGAATTTTTCAATGGCATGAATGCCATTCGCCCTTGCAGACCTGAGCCCTGCTTCACAAAAACCCTTAAGTCATTTCTCGGCTGAAGTCCTAGCCCGCTTAGATTTAGTCGACTACATTGCGTTACATCACAACCACTTTCAGTGTTTTATCTTAAAAGATGAAGGAGTGAAGGTGATACACACCTATAAGAGGCACCTGTGAGCCCGTCCCAGGGACCGTCCAGGATCAACAAAAACACCACGAGGGCGGTCCAGCACGTCATACCTGGAGATGAAATGGAGCATTTAGAGCTAATGGTGCAGATTACGGATTTTATAGAGGGAGCCCCCCCCCCCCCCCTCCCACTCCCCCGTTGGTAGAGTGAACAGGAAGAAAAATAACAATAAATATTTTAACACATTAATGTCAGTGATTTATGCCACTCCCTCAGGCTTTTTATTAATGAATAATGGTGTTTTATCAAAGGAGGGACGGGTCCAGGGTACATATTCAATAGACATGTATTTTTATCAGACCCATAGGCAACAGTGTCAAAGGGGGGGCGTTTTCTAAAAAAGTGGACCTTTTACCATAAAATCCTCGTGTACATATATTAAATTATACCCAGATTTGACCTTTTCCCAACAAAAAGTTTTTTTTTGCTTTCAGTCCCTGCGAACCCCCCACCCCCCCCCCCCCTCCCCCCCCCCCCCCCCCCCCCCC